CAAGCTCAATAAACAAGTTCAATAAGTAAACGAGTCAAATTCAAACTTAGTAAAGGTTGACTTAACTCGGCTCGTTTGCAACCCTACTCGAAATGGTCAAATGTGAAAATGAGTTGCCAAATTTGGGATGACTGTTTTGCCATTTGTAGCTCCTTCAATTTGGAAACAAATCTCATGTCTCCACCTAATTCACTTCCTTAACTTTTCTATACTTCACTTTGACCCACCCTAATAGCATCAAAATTACTATAAAAAAGAGGTAAATTACATTTTTAACCCTTGTATTTTGATTAAAATCACACTTTAGTAACTATAATATAAACTGAACAATTTAGTTTTAACACTTTAAATCTAGATTCAATTTGATTATTCTATTCAATTTTTTCTATATGTAAGAATTAGGGTACTGACAAGTGTTTCAAAATCGCCAATTTTAACATCTAACCTAAGCAAAATAACTAAATTAAGATTAGACTTAAAAGATAAAAACCAAACTATTTAATTTAAAACGGCAATAATTAAAGTAAAATTTAATTCAAATTATAAGAATACAAAGTGTAATTTACCCAAACTTTATGAGTCCACTATTGATATTATTTGGTGAAAACCGTGAATTCAAAAAAGCAAATCACAATGGACAGAATTGGCTCGTGAAAACCATCATCCAATCACAAATGCAATATTGCCCTTTTGGGTAGAGTAACAAATATGTACTAATTGTGAATATATGTGGAATTTCATTGGAAAATTGAAAATTAATGAAAATAAAATTGTAAAAATAAACTTACATCTTCATATTTTTGTAATTATTTTTATACTAATTTACAATTCCCACAATTATTTGCACTATAACATTCTCATAATTGCAAATTTAAAATAAAAATAAAAATCTAATCCCTATTGAACAAAGGTAAAAATTTTATTTTATTAATTGATATGTTATGTAATAATAAAATTTGAAATTTATAACAAAACTCAATTTTAACGAAATGATAAGTAGCAAATTAGTAACTAAAAAAAATTTATAAATTATCTTTATTTTTATAAAATCACTTAGGGGGAAAAAATAAAAATAAAAAAGCAATACATGGTTGAGATGGTTTGGTTCTCGTTTTTTTTTTGGGATCAGATCCTTGTTGGTTAGGCCATCTTTAATGTTGTATCAGATATTTCATCAAATGCAAATTTAATGAAAAATTGATGAAAACGATGCCCCAACTGTTTTATCATATTGGTATCAAATGAAGGGAGTAGTACTTTTTTCATCAAATGAAGGGATTGTTTATCATTTCATTAAATTTTACAAATGATTGTTGATGGACGACTCGATGGACAACCTCTCGAACAATCGATTTTGGAATGAATTTGATAAAAATTTACGTTGAAATATTGGAGTGTATCATATTATATCATACTTTTGATCAAATTTGTACTCAAATTTAATGAAAAATTTGGTGAAACATTGGAAATACTCTTACTCATAATCAGTGTGAATGTCCTTTGTTGTACAAAAAGCAAGCCCCAATATTTATTTTACTCCCTTGTTGTAGACAATTATTTTCTCAGGCTTTGTTTGGATATTTTCATTGCACAAATTTAAATTTTAAATACACTTTTTTTTTTTACTATCGATCTTAGCCACGGATATAGCCTGAAATTTGACAATGTTTTCACTATGGTCCAATAATCTTGTTATATAATTTGTTGTATACATCCCTTAAAATATGAGTATCATATAGGATACACTTTTTAAAGATGAGGCATCTTAACATTTTTCAGAAAATATACATAAAACATTATTTGATAGGTGTTGTCCTTTGTACTCTATTATTCTCCATTAGTACTTATGTTTTCTAAACCGTTTGATGCTAATAAGACAAAGAAAAATGTTTGAGGGCCACAAAAACAGTGGCTCAAATGGCTCAAAACTGCCAAAACGACATCGTTTTGGCAGGTTTTGCTCCCCAAACGACGTCGTTTTGGCAGTTTTGAGCCATTTGAGCCACTATTTTTGTGGCCCTCTACCATTGCTGTAAGACAAATTCATTGGCGGTTGAGATCGTTTTGTTCTTATTGATTATCCCATCTGTATCATCAATGCCATATGTTACACAAATTGTGAAGCAAATTTTTTTTTTTTTTTAAATTTTTATATAGAGATATTTAGCCTAACATCTTTCTCTAACTTTTAATAATATGAGAGATTCATAATTTTATTTTTATTTTTTTTATTTTTTATTTTTTTGGGTAACCTAAGGTCTCGTTTGGAAACAGGTTATTTTATTAATTTTTTGGCTTTTTACGAAAAGATGTGCAAAAAAATAGAGAAGTGATGTGATAATTTTTAGTAAGTTTTTGACTTTTTAACTAAAATAACCACTCTTCAAACGAGGCCTAAGTTCACTCATCTACGACTCATATATTACACCTACCCTCTCATTCTCTTTCTTCCTTCCCAATAGCCTCCTCTTTTGTTTCGATTCGATCACAAAGAGAGTGGAAATTTGAATCGTTTGATTAATCATAAAGGAGACACCCACATCCCAATCTATCACCAATGACTCGTCACATCAAGTCTTGAATTTGCGAAATCACCCACATCCCAATCTATCACCAGTGACTCCACATCCCAATCTACCACCAGTGACTCCTCACATCAAGTCTCGAATTTGTGAAATCGCCCACATCCTAATCTACCACCAGTGATTTCTCATAGGCACAAAACAACTCCAAGACTCCTCATTTCTTCTCCTTAATAGGTTTGTTTTCCACCTCCTCGTCTGCCTTTGTGGCGGCAAGGGCAACTTCGGCTCCTTCTTCCGTGGCGCTGCCGCCGCCTCCACCAAGGCCAGCCAGAAAAAGACCAATAACTTTGATGCTTGTAGAGACATAAGCGAACAGCGGCTCCACCACGTAAACGTGGAGAAGAAGTTGAAGGAGTAGAGGGCGGTTGCGGAGGAGCAGAGGCTGGAGAAGGGTCCAAAGGAGTTTATAAAGAAGGAGAGAAAATTGGTCATGGGAATTTCTTTGGTTTAGTATAATCTGACTATAAAGAGCGAAGGCTAGTGTTTGGGATGACGTGTTTGGGATGAATTTTCTTGTGATTATGTGCTTCTGTATAACAACAATACTAGGTAGTTCAAAATTTTGTGGCTCAAATGGTTCAAATCACTTAAAACGACGTCGTTTTGACAAATTTTGAGTGTAAAATGACGTCGTTTTGACATATTTGAGCCATTTAAGCCACAAAATTTTAAGTTACCAAACATTTTCCTTTGTATAAACTGACTGCAAATAAACTTTGTATCCTTATGTCAAGTTGTTTATTATATATATTATGATCATGGGAATTCCTTTATGGGTTAATTGAGTCAAAATATAATTTTCTCTGATTTGGTCAAAACACATAAAAAATTATGAGCAAATTAAAAAAAATTGGTCAAAACATATAGAAAAATTATGAGCAAACCAGAAAAATTTCAACCTAGATAAATTTCAAAACATAAAGAAACTTTCAAAAAACAGAGAAAAATTAGAGAAGTTGAGAGAAAATTGGTCAAAACACAAAGAAAATTGTGAGCAAATCAGAGAAATTTCAATCCAGAAAAATTTTAAAACACAGAGAAAAATCAGAGAAATTAAGCAAACTAGAGAAATTTCAAAGTAGAGAAATTTTAAAACACAGAAAAATTTGTCTGAATCGAAATTTATCTGGATCGAAATTTATTTGAAAAAATGTTGAGGAACTCCAACCATTATGAAAATATTACATGCCTTTTATCCTATAAAATTTTAATACTAGAGTCCTTAAAAAAAAATCCCCTTTTTTTTAATAGTTTTTTTTTTTTACTAATATCCAAATTATTACAAAATTTATTTTCTAAATATAATTTGTTTTCAATTTATTTTAGAAACATGAGTTGTTTTTTGAAATCTTGAAATCATCTATCTATCTATCTATCTATACTATTATAAAGTGAACACATTTTATGGTGTCTTGAAACTTTTGTTTCTTATACTGCCATATGTCTACTTTTTTATTTGAAATAAAAAAAAAATTAGATAGATGAGAGGAGGGGATTTGAACCTTAGACTTATGTCTTGAAACCTTTGTTTCTTATATTGCCATGTGTCTACTTTTTTATTTGAAATATAAAAAAAAAATTAGATAGATGAGAGGAGTGGATTTGAACCTTAAACTTAAGTCAAATGAGTAGGACTTTAACCACTTAACTAGCACACAATATATGATAAATGTTTTATTTTATTTTTATCTATTTGAATTGCACACGCATCGCGTGTGGCAACCGCTAGTATTTCTAAAATATAATTATTCTTATGATTTTAGAAATTACAAATACTCTCTTATTATTTAACATAATTAACAAAACATTTTTTTTTCCTAACTACAATCTTATGCAACAAAAAAATTATCAGAATTATTAATTAAAATATATTTATGATGTCATTTAAAACTAATAATTGACGTAATAATTTACTAATAAAATTAATCATTTTATATAATTTTTAAAATGATAAGAAATAATTCATATTTTAAATAAATTTCAAAAAAATATATTTTAATGTTACTTCTTCTACTTTTTCTTCTTTTTTTTTTGTTTTTTTTTGTTTTTGTTTTTTAAGTTCGGAGGGCAATGTTATGTTGATGTTAGTGGTGTCAGTTGACACCATTAAACTTCAATTTTTATTTTTATTTTTTTATTTAAAATATATGCAATTTTGATCTAAAATTTGTAAATATATACATACTGAATCTAGTGGGTTTTGAAAGAAAAAAAAAAAAAAAAACCTAATTCTCAAAATTTTACAAATTGAACCTATTAGGCTTAAAAAAAGAATCACTCTCCCTAATTTAGGCTTCATTTAGAAATATTTTATTTTAGTAATTTTTGACTTGTTACAAAAAAAAAATGTATAAAAAAAATAGAGAGAATGATATGATAAAAAATATTCTGACCAATTACTGGGTCTCGGGAGTGATCCTCAGTGTGGGTCAGGAGCGTTTTTCATTTATCTTATCACGTTCGGGGCGGACTGACCCATCCCCAAAAAAGCAGCCCGAAAACGAAACCACCCCCAAAGGAGAAAAATCCAATCAAAGCCCTCGTTCCTGGAATCGAATCAAATCCAGAGAGAGAGAGAGAGAGAGAGACACACACACACACACAAAGAGATTGAAGTTGTGAGAGAAAAAAAAATGGTGGTGAGGATAAGATTATCGAGGTTTGGATGCAAGAACAAGCCTTTTTATCGAGTTATGGCTGCAGATAACAGGTCTCCCAGAGACGGCAAGCACTTGGAAGTTTTGGGTTACTACAATCCTCTCCCAGGTACTCTCTTTCTATCAATTTCTTTCTCTAATCCATTTGTTTCCCGAGAAAATGTTAGGGAAAATGAAAAATGAACCCCCTTTTATGGGTTAGCATTTAAAAAATGCCATTTGTTTCCCTGTTATTGGGTTTCTTTACGGTTCTATGAATTGTTTGGTTGGTGGGAAAGCGTTGGAAAAGAGATGAAACCAAAATATTAAATAAAAAAAAAATCCAAATTTATTGTGAAATGAAAAATCCGTTTTTTCATCTTCTGTTTTCCGCAAGAAAATGTCAGAGAAAAGAAAATTAATTCCCTTTTATGGTTGGGCAAACAGAGATCAAGTGTGCACGTGTAAGGGTTTTCCTTTTAGCATTGTAAAATTGCTGTTTGTTTCCCTGTTCTTGGGTTTCTTTAAAGTTCTATGATTTGTTTGGTTGCTCGGAAAGCGTTAGAAAATAAATGAAATGGAAATTATTTCAAAATGCGTGATTTATTATTTCTTCTGACCAAGCAAGTCGAATTAGAGTTAAATCTAATATGCTTTTGTGGTGTAGTTTGATTTTTGTTATTACTAATTGTTTCAATGTGTTTGATTTGTACAGGTCAAGATGGTGGTAAACGAATGGGTCTTAATTTTGACAGAGTGAAGTAAGTGTGTTTTTTTAGAAGTTTATCTCTCTATAAATAATTCGAAACTTGTAAACGTAGAAGTGTTCATAGCTGGATGCTTTAACCACGTGAAGCAAATTTTCTAGACTTGTGTTACATGATTGATTATGGTTTAGAGTCTGCAACATAAGTTATAGCCCTCAATGAACAATGGAGTTATAGCCTAGGAAAATGATGCAGCCACTCTTAAGTTATGTATGTCAGTGTATGTTTACATTCTTTATGTACCCCATGCAGATTGTTAGGAGAGAGGGGAAAAGGATTCAAAGAAATATGTATGTGAAGATGAGAGGTGTGAATAGGAAGTATTTTGTGTTAATTTATTAATTGTAGTGTTAATGAAGCTTGGTGGCAAAAACAGTAATTAGAAAAATGAACTTGAATGGTATGACATATCTCCCCCAAGGCAATTTCACTAGACAAACACTTAAAATGGTTGTGGCCTTATTGGCAATTGTCAAGGCTTATAGAACTGGTGTCACTTTCTTGAGTATTACAGTAATTGGCCACTAGAACTCTAGCCTGTCCTAGGTGGAAAAGCAAGAACTGTTAGTTTTGTTGACAATTTGTTGGACATTAGAAGAGGCAATACTTCATTGTGCGAATAGAATTGCCTTTTTCTACTCTTATGTGGTCTTTCTTTCCATTCATTACACGTGTACTCTACAATTTGTTGTCACTGAATATATGGATTTTCAGTCTCAGGTTTGTTCAATCCATAGCCAGACCTTCATCAAACATTTGGCTTAGTTGAATTTTTAATGGATCAGAACGTCTTCGTTGCTTCTCTTATTAAAATTCTCTATTTGTTGGCCTGATGGTTTCATGGGAAGGGGGGGGGGAGAGAGAGAGAGAGAGAGAGGTAGAGAGAGAGGGAGAGAGAGAGGTACCACCTCCCATTTATTGGGGTGGTTCATGTGTTTGATAACAAACTTTCTGGATATTCCGATATTCTTTTACAATATGCCAGGGAATATGTCATAACATATCATTCAGTTTGGATTTGCCTCGATCCTCGAGTGACAGTACAAATGCATAAAGACAGTCTCTCTTGGTAAGACTAGCCTAAGGCAGTAACACCTGCATGGCATCATGGCAAGTGACATCATTGTCTCTAGCCACCAAGCCACAAGACCCCAGATTCCCGCAGTGCCTTACTGAAGACTTCGGCATTGCCAAATCCTGCCTTTTGACTTGAGTATATGAAAATGGCATAGTAAGACAACCGCATAAGTGAGATTCGTGCGGTACAAAGTATGTAATCTATTTGATTAATTTAATTTTATATTTGGTTCATTGGAATGAGCTGGAATGAAATGATCATTTCGTCATAATATCCATTCTCATATTTGGTTTACTAAAAAAATTATGAAAAATGCATTGCAAATGGAATTATTATTCATTATGGTAAGGGAATGATCATTCGGTAAGGAGTTTATGGAATAATTATTTCATTCCAATCCACTTTAATTCCAATGAACCAAACACTACCTAAGGATTGATATCAAATTTGATTTATCACCATGCTAACAATGAAAGCTAAAGGCATATGTTTTTGTAAATTCAAGTGATCTTTATATCATGTATCGATCGACTTCTTAGACTATCAGTAACCTGTAGAATTTGAAGAATCCATTCATGAACTTGGAGTTTTTCCAGTACTAGATTTCAGCTTCATGCAAAACTTTTCATTGCCTGTAAATTCGCTTATTTCCCATTTATTTTTTCCGTCATCTGATGAGATGAGAGTAAAACTGTGGGAAAGCGGTGGTTTCGTGGCCAGGATCAGTTAAAGCTAAAAGTTTCATTAATGAGCATTTCCACAGGGTAGGACCTCCTTGGGGAATATTATAATTTCATGAGGCTGATCTTGAGCCATCATCTAAGGACGAATACGTTTGTTTAAGAGAATTTTTTTGGTGTAGAAATCTCAAATTCAGGATCCTCTGCTGGATGAATTTCATAAGAAATGTTCTCAAGGCACACGTGTGAGGCTAGACCGACTACAATAGCACTCATTTGTACCCAAAAATAAATAAATTGTATTCTGGCATATTGTTTTAGGTTTTCCTAGTAAGAGTCTTCAAACTATGTACTAAAAGGTTTTATTTAAAGGGATGTTTTAGTTCTCGCTTGATGTTTTTCCCAATTTTTGCAGGTATTGGCTATCAGTTGGTGCTCAGCCATCAGAGCCTGTTGAACGCCTTCTGTTTAGATCAGGGTTGCTTCCCCCGCCGCCAATGCTGGCTATGGGTCGCAAAGGCGGGCCAAGGGACACCCGCCCAATTGATCCTATGACTGGGCGCTATTTGACAGCAGATAAGCCAGCAAATGGTGAGAAACCAAAGGACTCTGAAGGTAATGGAGATGGCGAGATGAAGATAGTGGAACAACACCATGATGAAGATGGTGCAACTGCCCCTTGAAACCAGTCTATACAGTTACCTTCTATGAGCTGATATTGTTTTAGATGGTGCAAACGACCCTTGACACCTTCTATATGTAACTCGGCTTTGAAGATCTGACTATTGTTTCAGATAGTTCTGATAGTATTATATGGAGAGTGGTTCCAAGTTGCTTTGCTTATAAAATAATTTTGAATTGTGTGGGACGGAAATTCTTGTGTAGAGAGTAATTACAATGCATTACTCCATTTTGAGTGTGGAAAAGCTCTTTGCTTTGGTTTAAAAACTATTCTTCTAGGAATACAGAAATTAATCACAGAATCAGGCAACTTTTATATGGGTGTGGGATCTACAAAAATGAGCTTCATATAAAGAGTTGTGTGTACAGTTTTGTTATTGGTTATTCATCAGTTTCTGTACTTTTTAAGCAAAATATAAATATATACAGGTAGTTGAAGTAAACCAAAAGCTAGAGTATGTAAGTTGTATGTGTACATATAAGCTTATTATGTGAATTTACTTAGGAAGTTAAAAAAATATATAAAATGTTTTTCGCTACACGTAACTGCCTTCTCTTGTAATTACTATTTCTTAAGAATAATCTTATGCATCAAAATTTTGGTGTCACATATTTTTGCATTAACAAAATCGTGTTCCTTATTCAATTATATTTAGGGTATTGAGAAAAATTGTGCCAAATCGCACCAGCTTAAATAAATTTGTGTGGTTTGAGAATGTGTGGGGGTTAAGTTGGGTGGATTACATCACAAAAATTAGTTTGTTATTTAATGGTATACCAAACGCTTGAGTTAAGGTCATTTTTGGCTATACCATCACAAAAAACTTCCTTCAATGATGTGTCAAACCTTGAGTCAAAATTTACCACATTTGCAAAAGCAATTATGATCATTAGATACTTTTTGAAAAACAGATCTAATGCTAAAAAATTAAAATTTGTCTTATAAAATGAGACTAGTTAGTGGAATAGCTTTTTAATAACTGTTTTTTTCACGGTAGCAAGTTAAAAAATAGCTTTAACAAAGTTTTTTAACTTTTACCATTCAGTCGTGATAGAGGCCTCGAATTCGAGGCCTCGAATTTGGCTCGAACAGAACCGGAGGGGAGGGGAGGGGAGGGAAAGAAGAGAGAGAGGAAGGGAGAAGAAGAGGGAGCCGCCGGTGGGCCGGACTGGAGGGGGCCATAATCACTGGGGGAGGGAGAGGAGGAAGAGGGGGCGGAGGCGGAGGCGACAGCGGTGCAGTTGCTGCGACGAGCTGGATCGGGCGACGATCGGACGGCTGGCGAGCTCGACGAGCTGCGACGGCAAGTCTTCGGCGAATCTGGACCCCCTCCCCTCCCCTTCCTCTCTCTCTCTTCTTCTCCTCCCCTCCCCTCTGGTTCTGCGAAGAAGAAGAAGAAGAAGAAAAAAAAAAAAAAGATTTCGAGGCAAATTCGAGCCTCAAATTCGAGGCCTGAATCATTAATCTTTACCATTGAAGTTGCACTAAGGCCTATAAATTATAATTTGTCTTATAAACTAACCCAACCTGTTTATAAATTGATCTAACTTACTTGTACGTATATGCAACTTGTTACCTTGCACTTGTCTACCCATCATCTCTTCCTAATATTAATATCATTATTAGAATGATGTCACCCAAATTTTCTCTTAATTTGATTGCTTTTGTTAATTAATTTGTAAAATTTGTGTCAAAATTTATAATAAATAATATTTTTTATGTTTGAAATTATATAAAAAAGTAATTCACTGATATATATAAATATATATTTATTTATTTTGCATTTCGAACTCATGTTTGAAGCAATTAAAATATTCAATCAGCTTGTTAATTTTGATTATCGATAACCAGTTAAACAAAATTTCAATTTACAAAAATATGATTTGATTGATGATCTTCTATGAGAATCAATCGAGAATTTTACAATACACACTTCTTATTATGGCCTTTTTTGGCAAGAGATTAAAAATAATTTTTTGGCTTTTAATCTCTTTTAGATTATATCATTTTTTAATTTTTTTACATATTTTTTCAAAAAAAATTAAAAGAACAAAAAAGTTAATTTTTAACCTACATCCTAAAACAATTCTATATACACTTTTCATTATCCTATTTTTTATTTTATTTTAATTGTGATATTATTTTGAGATATTTAGTACACGCTATTTTCTAAGAATCAACTCAAGCTGACTTGTGTACATCCCTGGGTGAAATTTGAGCGGGTTCGGTCGGGTTGAGAGGTTGTTCAAACCCAACCCAAGTTGTGCGGAGACCTGCCTAGGTCCGCCTAGGTCTGAATTGTAACCAGAGATTGCCTGTTCAAGTCCGACCCAAGTCAAACCCGAATTACCCAAATTGTAAATGAATTTTTGTTGTTGTTGTTATTTTTTTTTTGCAGTTATATTATTAAATTATTAAAATTTAATACCATCAAAACAAATAATTTATATAATGTAAGAGAAATGTTACTATAATAGTCTTTACAATTTATGAGTGAAAATAAAAAAAAGTAAAATTTTATGTTATATGTATATATAATATATATTCAATATGATTTGATAATATAAATTACTTTAATATCATGTAATAGCTAATAATTTATAGTATATTTAATATTTTTATATATTTATATATGTATAATTCGGGTTGCTCGGATTATTTGACGTCTTTATCCAAATCCGTCTAAATTTAATTCGGACTTCTAAATTTTTGTTCAAACTCTTACCAAATTTAAAAATATCTTGTTTAAGTCCTAAAAAAATTTAAAATAGATACTCAAGTTACACCCTAACACCCCCCTACTAGTAAATAAAATAAAATAATCATATAATAATTTTCATGAAAGTGTAATTATTTTCTCACTACTTTGCAATTTGCCCCTTTTAAAAAGAGTATTTCCTGGAGGCCACTCATGCAAAGAAAAAGTTCAAAAAGGAGGGAAAACCCATAAACCCTAAAAATACCAGTGGAGTAAACCTCTCTCTATTTCTCTCTCTCTGCAATAAACCTAAAATTTGCGAAACGTCGATGTATATATGATCTGTATATGTGTATATGCATACTCTAATTGTTTCTTGAAGTCGAACTATTTCATACTTCTTGATTCCTACGGCTTTTGGGGGTTTTTGTGACTGGAGGGACTCCAATGGCGAGGCTTCTTCGGAACGCTTCTTCTCTCAAACGCATTCTCTTCGCTCCACAGGTAATCTGTCCCCGCATTCTCATCATCAACCTTGTTTTCCCCTCATTTACTGCTTAGTTCATAGTATTCCAACAGTACTTGTATTTTTGCTCTTCAAAACGTCGAAATTGGTGTTTTTTTTTTTTGGTTAGTTTTGATATTGATAATGGTGACTCGAAGCAATTTTTGTACAAGTTTTTGGTGTAGTTATCATTCTAGGGATTGCCTGTTTAGTTACATGCTTCGATTGATGCTTTTTGTTTAGAGTCTGTTTGGGAACCAAGAACAGGAAAGAAAAGAAAGGACTTGTTAAGTTAATGAGAGAAAATAAAAGAAAAGAAGAGAAAAGATTGTGTTTTCTCTCGATTAAGTTGGAGAGAAAAGAAAAGATTGTAATTTATTTTCTATCAAAGAAACTATTACAATTTATGTTACCAAAATAATTTTTTATAATAATTTTGATGTTATAAAAAGTTAGTAATCGCTTTGTTTCTTTTCCCTCCCAATGTCCCTACTTTTGGAGTGTTTCAAAATGTAAATTTTAAAAGAAATCAGTTTCACTATACTTCTTTCCATTTTCTCCTCTTTAGTAATCCAAACAGGTGATTAAACTTAAGAAAAATTAATTCATATTATTTTCTGTCCAAATCGATCAACCAAACGGGCTATTAGCATCTATGATTTAGTTAATATTATCAAATTCTTAGGATAAAATGGGTTAAAGGGTTTTGCCATTTCACATCAATGAAACAACTAAAATGGAATTGATTTTTCAATTTTTATTGTTTGGATGATGCATTGGATTTGTTAAGTCACTGTACAACCCAACTTGTCCTGCAAAGTTCTTTGCTATTATGCTTACCCTGTGGGTTTAAGTGTGATAAAGAGGTCTGAAAATTTTGAAATTCCTCATGAAAGAGTGCAATCGCGCATTTCTTTCTGGTATATAATGATCTTACCTTCACTTGGGACCTTTTGTTTGTGTACTTTTAGAAGTTTTATTTTGTTTATTCTGAAAAAATTGTCTATTTGTTATTTGTGGCTCCTTAGTTTTAAGTTTGTTACAATGAATAAAAGAAAGTGCTGTTGATGTAATATCTTATTTTATGATTATGAAATAAATTTTTTACTTTTAATTTTCTGTTTGGTTTGCAGGGTTTTAGGAAAGGGGTATTTGTAACATCCTCGATCTGCAATTTTTCTACTAAAGGTATTGAAAATTTGAGTTCAGTTTTTTTCCCCTTATTCTTCAACATTTGACACATTAAAATCCTTTTGCCTATTCAACAGTGTTTCTGTAGAATATCATCCTATTGGACTATTCATTTTTTGTAGAGCAGGACAAGCAATATGGATGCTATTTGTTCTGTTCTCCCTAGTAATTCATGTATTCCTGCTTAGGCTAATATGGGCTAATAAATCTCATTTTGTCTATTTGAAGGTAAAAAGAGATCTAAATCAGATGGCAGTGATTCCAATGATGAGAATTTGTCCAAAAAGGAGCTGGCCCTGAAGCAAGCGTTGGATCAGATCACTACCTCATTTGGAAAGGGATCTATTATGTGGTTGGGTCGGTCCACCTCTCATAAGCAAGTTCCAGTGGTGTCTACAGGATCTTTTTCTTTGGATATAGCACTGGGGATTGGTGGACTTCCGAAGGTATCTTTCAGCAATTGGAATTTATATGAATATCTATTTTCTATGCTGCAGATTTTCATATAACAGTTATAAGGATAAGAATTTTTTGGATAATGCAACTTTTTAAAAAAAAAAAGTTGTAATAATGCACCGTGTCATATATGTCATATAGGCACAAGTTCTTATGGCAGACTTTGGTATTTATTTTTTCCACAAGGCATATTCTGTTCTACATGATACAACTACTGTCACACATTTCCATCACCAGCTCAAACATACTTTATGTTAAAACAGCTACTCGCTCTTCTTGTGCTACTGCACAGGCTTAACTAATATAATAGGTTATTTTGAAATTTACATTTTATGATCCAAGTCTTTTGTTGATTAAATTAGGGAGATTTGCCAGTTCTTGCCTTAAGTTATGCTACTCATGAATGTTCTTCTTATATCTTTATTTTCTACACTTTTCAGGAATATATGTAATTGTGAGTGGCATTATAATTTGTAGTGCTCTATGTTGACTGTTTAGCTTTATAAAAATAACTCATTTGCATTTTATTGAACTCTGTATCTTTAATTGTAATTAATTTTATTTTTTTCCCCAATTGAATGATACATTACAAACCATATGTACATACTCATACAAACATCTAGATATTTATGCCTCTAGGGAGCTGTATGGATGAAAACTTAATGTGTATGCCGGTAGGGTTGTATGTATGTAAATCTAATGTATAATATCTTTATAAGGGGTTGGGGACCGAGAGAATTTTGTTAATTTGTCTTTGCTGTCTGGCTGCTTATACTGATTTTTTATTGGATTTGTGCAGGGACGTGTTGTGGAGATATATGGTCCAGAAGCTTCTGGGAAAACGACTGTTGCTCTACATGTAATTGCTGAAGCACAGAAGCAAGGAGGTTACTCTTAGAAATACCTATATTTAATTTTTTTTTCTTTCTGAACAAGTCATACAATTAGGATGATTGATTGTATTTGTTAATGTCCTGTGTACAGTGTATTTTTCTAAACTAATAAATATTAATCAATTGTAATTTCTAAAGCGCATGGTAGTTTGAGTTTGTCTGTCTTTATTTTTTTCCCCTTATATTTTGGAATGGGTAACTTCAAGTAATGAAGTTTTCACTTTGGGGTATCAAGTTCAATGTAGTCATCTATGCGGTTCAATTTTATTTATTTATTTATTTTTCCCAGTGCAATGTATTGACCCTCTTCTCCGTCTAATACCAAAAAGAAGTAAAACACCACAGCCAAAAATAAAAGTTACAATAAACAAGTCAATATACAAAACATATGTTGGTAAATAACAAAAGTTTTCTAGCAATGCATTTGTTGCCTAGCAGAAAGTTTAGATTCCCAAGCATGAAAAAAAGAAAAAAATGTAAGAAAACTGCAAAGTTAGGTATTTCATGCCATGCCTAGTGAATCATGAATGTTGTATAAGTGGGAAGAAGCATCTCATCTTGTAGAAAGCAATAATATATTGTTCACTTCATTCACAGATTTCTGGTTCTTGATACATTAGTATAAATTGGAAGCATGTGCTGGTTTTAATGTTGGTTATCATTCATAAATTTTTTCTATTGTTTTTTAAAAAAACAGGAAATGTCTGCTTTGTGACGGATTTTAACACCAGCTTCTTCTTGTTAATTAACATTTTTTTGGATATAGGTTACTGTGTTTTTGTTGATGCTGAGCATGCTCTTGATCCAGCACTTGCCGAGGCTATTGGTGTAAATACTGAAAATTTGCTTCTATCACAACCTGATTGTGGTGAACAGGCTCTAAGTCTTGTGGATACCCTAATACGGAGTGGTTCAGTTGATGTCGTTGTGGTGGACAGTGTAAGTGTTCCATAGATCAAGCTTCTGTGCACAGTGATTTAACAAGAATGATCATGGTTTAGAGTTAGTTGTAGCCTTGCAGGACATACTTCATGAGTTTCCTTCAAAATGTCTTGTGATGGTGTTATTACTGTTATACCTTTCATCTTCGCCCCCTTCCATGTTAATGTTGTGAACTTGTTTTTGATAGGAATCCTTGTGGGGTTTTTTTTTTTTTGGGGTGCATTGCTGCACATATGCAGCTTTGGCACATGGTTTGAATCCATGTGGACCTGATGGTTCATTTTGTCTAATTTGAGTCAATTTTTTGGGAGTCAATACTTGTCCTATTTTTAGGGGGGAAAGGCTCTATTTTGAATCTTCTGCTCTGTTTTATGAATTTTGTGTTTTGATTTACAGGTTGCTGCCCTTGTGCCCAAAGGTGAACTTGATGGTGAAATGGGTGATGCACACATGGCAATGCAAGCTAGATTGATGAGCCAGGCACTCCGCAAATTGAGCCACTCTTTGTCTTTATCACAGACAATTTTGATATTCGTAAATCAGGTATTGTTCTAATTTTTATTTATTTATTCTGTTCTATCATAATCACATTTTTATACAACTTCCAATTTTTATGGCTTTGATTGCACTCAGATTTATTATTCTACTTTGTTTATTGACTAATTGTTAAAGAAAATTCGAACCTCAGAGCTAACTTACAGTCAGGTAGCCATGTCATGTCAATGAATTATGGGAAATGTGTGGAATTTTCTATCACAGGCAAAAGAATCTTTCTTGGAGCTACTACTGTAGGCTAATTTGTGTATTTTTGTTTTCTTTATTTTTACCAATTTCTATCCGTAAAGATTTTCTGCTCTTTGTATCTTCTCTCTTAAGCTATGTTACACGGATTCTTCAAAATAGATCAAATACCTATGTCAGACACCCGACACTCGGATAAGGGTATGGAATATGTGTAGAATATTTTTCAACGGACACTTCTTATATAATTGTATATAACACTATTATTATATGTACATATTGTTGTATAATTATTATAAATGTCATTTTGACACTTTAAGTTACATATAGTACCATTTTATCTCACATACTAGATTAAAAATATAAAAATATGACATTTTTTTGCCAAGTCCGCATACCCTTAAATTTATGATTTTATGAGTCCGATCTCTAGATACATACCCGCACCTGACACCCGTACTCGAGTCCATGTAACATAGCTCTTAAGAAATGACACAGTTGATACTTAGCTAGGAAAATTTACTCTTTTTTCCTTGAGAGTGTGGTCAAGTTTCTCTTACATTTACATTTTCTTTTCCGGTAAAGTGCTTCCCAACCAAGTAAAATATAAATGTGTTATCCCTGATGTTATTAAAATGTCACTGTATAATATGATTTTTTTGAACAATCCTGTTAGGTAGCTCGAATTTTCCATGGCTCGAGTGGCTTGAAATCCCAAAACAACGTCGTTTTGGCTTTTTTTTTTTTCCTTTCTTTTCTTCATCCTTTTCGACTCAACACAGCATCATCCCAGAAGAGAAGAAAGAAGAAAGAAGAAGAAGACAGAAGAGAAGAAAGAAAAAAGAAGAAGAAGAAGAAAAGAAAAAGAAAGACGAAGACAACATCATCATCAATACAGCATCATCATCATCAATAACCAACAAATCATCATCAACACAGCACCATCATCATCAACACATCATCATCAACAAATCAAACCCACCCACCCACACACACACACACAGATCTGGAAAATCAAAAACAGATCTGGAAGTCAAATTGATAAAACACACACACACACACACGGTGGTGACAGAGTGGAAGAGGAAGCGGCGGCGGCGACGGAGTGGAAGAGGAAGATCTGTTTCGTTTCTCCCTTTCGTTTCTTCCTTTCGCCCTTTCTCTCTCTTCTCTCTCTTTCTCCCTCCCTCACTCTGTTTCGTTTCACAGATAAAAGGGGAGAAAAAAAAATTTCAAAACGATGTCGTTTTGAATTCGGGACATTTGAGCTTGAGGAGTTTCGAGCACTCAAGCATTTCTGTTTTTTGAAAGCTTAGTTATTTTTGTGTGGAATTTTTTTGGGGGGAGTTCATGATGTGGGATATCTTTCCATCAAAGGTAACTAATAAACAGTTTTAAGATGATAGATTGAAGGTTAAAGAATGATAATGAGAAGGGAAGAATAAAAGACAGAAGGCTGAGTAAGCTTGGTAGCTGAGTAAGCTTTCCTAGTCTTGGATCTTCTTTAGGTTCACTGGACTTATTACATTTTATCCTAATTAAAATTTAAAACCAAAAGCCCACCATGGCAGCCAATTCTACATTTCACAACTAAATTTTGGAATTTCCCCTATTGACGATCTCATAAAATGTTTTCTACCTTAAAGTTCTAAATTTGACTCATTTAATTTACATGATATTGGTTTTTTTTTTTTGGGGTCTAAATGAGATACAAATGTAATTAGTTGGTTACTATACAGATTCTTGACCTATAAAATATAGTTTGTTATTTGAAATATATTGGTACCCACTGATAAAGCAGTTCGGTTGGTAAGCAGTTTCACCGAAACCTGCACACAATGTATTTGATTGTCAAACTTCCTAATCTATTACTTTTTTATTCAGGTCAGGGCGAAGCTATCTACGTTTGGATTTGGTGGGCCCACTGAAGTTACTTGTGGTGGCAATGCTTTAAAATTCTATGCTTCAGTACGCCTAAACATTAGGAGAACAGGGCTTGTCAAGAAGGGAGAGGAGGTAAATTTTCATTTATCTGTTGTTTTTTTGGGCGTAATTTACACTGACCTCCCCTGAGGTCTTGACAATGACAGACAGACCCTTCTAGGTTCCCATTCCAGAACTTTTTGCTTGACATTGTTAATGCCGATTGATGAATGACCATTATGCCCCACTTAAATGCAGATATTTTAACCTGAATTGTCAATCAATGTAAAAAGACTGAATTGCCCTTTTGCTTTACTGAGACATTTGAGAACACATTTGTGGTGGTGATTCGTCTTATACATGCATCTGGTGTACATAGAGGCAGAGTGGGTACATTGGCGGGAGGGAGTTGGGGAAGGGAGGGAAAAACTTAGAGAAAATGAGAGAAACGGAGGAAATCTTGTTGAAATGTGTGAGAGCCTGAAAGGTTAGTGTATTTGTGAGAGAAAATAGAGTTGGGTATTGGTTCATCACTATAACCGAATTATTTCTTTGTTTGAGTCAGTTTGGAGACAAAAGAAGATGAAATGGCTGTGATTCTCATATTGATTCATCACATTTGCTCAAAGTTTGTTGTATTTTGGATTGTAAGGCAAGAATTGGTGCATTATTTGATAAATCATTGAGTTGGGTGTTATGGGTCTTGCTTTGTGTGTCGGTTTTGTTCTTTTTGATTGTTTTCTTTCATCAAATGATCTGTTTGTGGATTTTATGATCTTTGGTTTTTCTTCTTGATGATTGGGCTATATGTGTTGTGATTGAAGTATGTGTTTGTGTGAATTTGTTTTCTTTCAGTGTGTGGGTTTGTTTTCTTTTGTCAAACAATTTAAGTGTGTGTGGGGGGAATGTTTTCTTTCATCAAATGATGGCGGCATTTGGTTTTGTTTTCTCTTATTTTCATTGATACTGAATTAGGGAGTTTAGATATGGGTTTTAATATGTTGTACATATTCTCTGTTTGTAGTTCAATTTTTATTCTGATACTTGGGTAATTTTGGTTTTGATTACTTCCTACTATGCTTGAAGTAGACATTTGTTGTTTGTAATCCTACAAACACAATATATATTTCCAATTGACACTTACACAAAATACAACAAATAACTAACCATATAGCTAAGCTAGTACATATTTACTAGAGAGAAAGGAATTTATTAGCAATGTAATAAGGGCATCTCAATCTTTAACTAATGGGAATGCAGAGATAATTTGTCTTTTAACCAATGAAATGGAGGGCAATCATGTCTGTACACATGACATGAAGGCAACATAGGCACTAAAGGGAACTTTGTTGCTGACCTCAGTAAAAACCATCACCTTCTTTACTAGCGGCACCATAATGGTTGGAAGAATCTGTAACAAATTGTCATCATAGGGAGGTCCTTGTCATGTCATAAACTTGGAGGGGCCTGTTGTCATTAGCAAAAACCTCAAGGGATGTCAATGTAATTTACCTCTTTTTTTCTTTTAAGTATTGATCACTTAATTGTATTTGCATGTATTAACAGGAAAGATGGCTCCTAATAAAATTGTTTGTGATCATAATATTGCACAGTGGGGCCACCTCAAATGTTTTTGGCTGGCGCTAACCCCCTTTTGGTGGGGTTTGACAATTGTTTTTTTAGGAGCTCTTTTTCTTGTTTGCTTTTTTTGAATCTAAAAGAACTGATGTGGTTGATAATTGCTACAAAAGTTGCTTTTTTGTTATGGAGAAAGTTGTTCTGTCTCTTTTTAAACTTTTTTTTTTGGTGGGAAATTACCATATTGCCCATATATATATATATATATATATATTTTACTTTTGGCTTGTTTTAGCCAAAAAGCTGCTTATTTAGCAATTGTCAAACAGGGCTTGCTTTTAGATTCTCTTTCCTATCCTGTTAGGACTCAAGGCTTGCCCCATGATTTGTTCTACATTTTTATGATGTGTGGGGCCTTGAAGTTAGGTTTTGGGTTATTGAAGGCATAAAAGACAAGCCAATGGACATTAACAAGGAAGATGGTAGGCAGCCGTTTCAAAACAACTAACAGCAATTTGTTTAGGCTGAACTTATTTTTTGAAAATGGCTTGTGCATGATCCTCAAACTTGAAGCATGCGGTCTTAGGCATTATAACTGGACATGTGCACTTGTTTTTGTGCTGGAAAATTGGAGACAACAGAAAGATGAAGCGGATTAGGTCTGCAAGGGCCATAAAAAAAAAAAAAAAATTATAACATTGAAGTGAGGATTAGATCTCAATGCACTTGATTAGGGGCAACTTAGTACTTAACATTGCTTATTTTAGATTCAATATACAGTTAGGTTGTTAAAAATTGATGGCCAGCTATGAAGCACAGGCATGGGCACATGACGTGATACAGACACAATGACACAGATTTTCAAAGAAATGCAGGACATGACTCGTGGGCAAGGTTGTTAAAATTGGGATCTTAGATAGGATCGTTGGGAGGGATTGTGGATCGGATCGTAGAATTGGATTGAGCATCGTAAGATTCTACTTTTAATATAAAATAAAATGATAAATTATCTATAATGATAACGTATGCTAAATAATTGTAAAATCACTAAAGAAAAATGATTAATTTGATATAATGCATCTTTTATGCTATCATAAATTAGAAGAGATGTTTGTAGAAAGAATTTATAGTCAAATTTCTTATATAGATATACATATATACTATGAAGTACGGACACGTGACACGACACAGACATGACACGGACATGTGGACACAAATTTTCAAAAAATGGGGGACACGACACGTTGGGGACAC